GAGATGAAGACCCTGTTTCTTTTCCCTTTAACTCATTTTCAGCTGAACTTTTAAAAACCTAAGCAGCGAAAACATTTTCTTTTTCTTCAAGTTTTTAGGAACAGCCTTAGACCATTTTTTGTTACCCAGCTTCTAAGTCTTTCAACTCATTTGTATTTTAACGTATTTGATTCCCTTGTCTTTGAGCACAGACTAGTTATTTTAAAAATGAATTAAATCCAAAAATAAGTCAAATAGTTATGGAAATATAGAGGAAATATTGATCCTATAAATTAATTAAGGGTGTTTGTATTATATTCTGCCTTCCCAGGCACTCACTGACTCTTCCTTCATTGCCTACCACTAATAGGAAACCTCATCCAGTGTAATATGCCAATATCTTATATTCACGTTTCATCTTTTTTTTGTGAATATACATCATTCAAATTCTTTATTTATTAAAGTGTTTTTTTCATATAATATACATTTTAAAAGAATGCCAGTGGAGGGATTTTTAAGGTTAGTCCTAACTCTTTTGTTGGGTAAATCTTGGTTTCAGTGGGACCACTTGTATGAGTAAGTAATCCTCTGGATGCATAAGGTTATAGAACAGGGCTCTTCAACTCCAAATGCCATTAAATTTGTGTGTGTGCTCCTTCTTTCATCAGTCAGGTTTGAATATATTTTTGATGCGTGGTTTTCTTAGAAGGTACATCTCAGTGAGTGTACTCTGCAGAAGTGTTGCTATAGTAATTATCCATCTGGGAAAAAAATACTTAAGTAAATAAATGAAGAGAATAGAGATAGCATAACTAGCTAGAGCCTTCATCCTTTCTCTGTACCATCACATTTTGAAAAGACTCTGCAAATGCTCTAGTTCTGTCAGAAAGACTGGGGGAATTTGTGTGTGCTACCAGACCTTTAATCTATAGTTTGGGCGGGGGCAAAGGATAGCATGTCCTCTGATATATTTTTTTTTTCTCTGTGCTGATATGCTGCCTTTTAGGGAGTCCACCTTTTGATGCAAATCACATACTGGCTATTAGCAAGTCTGAAGCTGGGCAGGGTAAAAACTACTGATTAATCAGCATATAGCAGATGACCATTTTGATGGCGTTGATATCTCAGAGTGCAAGACATGTTTGAGCTGCCCATCCCATGAAGTACATGGTGGTAATTGTTGAAAATGTTAGCATTTCTTTCTTGCCTGCCTTATACATTTTGCCCGTGGTGCTGCTGATAGATGCAGCTTAATAGGAGAGTAGTGGTGTGTGTAACAGCTTGGCAGCAACTCGGATTTCTTGGAACATCAGGTGCACAACTGAGCTAGCATCTTGGATAGGCACCTTGGGTTTGCTGTAGCTTCCCCCGTCTGTCTTTCAGATAAGGCCTTAAAAGAGGTTGCCATCTATTTTGCACAGACACAAAGAACTAGTTGTTTCCTCTTTTTCCCTGGACAAGTATAGACATATATTTGTACATGCATATACCATGACTGCACATACATAAAAATATACATTTGTAAAAGAGCTGGAGCAGGCATTTAGAAGTAGCTGTTTGTGTCTTAACAGATCCCTGGTTTGTGTGTTTGATCATAGGCCTGTAATATTTTTAGAAATTGTTTTATTAAAGCATGGTGCCAGCCGTTCTGTGGCGCGTTTTGTAAGAGCAAGAGTTTGCAACAGTGTTTTAGGCAAGGCCCTACCACAATTGCCAATTTCCTCGACCAGGGTAGATTGCCATCAAATGTAGCTGCTGCACATGTGACTACATGTGTAGTAAGTGAAGTGCTTTAGGATGAAACGTACTATAAAAAACTAAGAAGATAATATTACTTCCCATTTAAATGCAGCTTCCCCTGAGTTTGAAGATCTCATGTAGTACAACCGAAGTCTTCTGTGACTCAAATTTGGAACTGGCAGAGGCATGTTGTTAAAAAAAAAAAAAAAAAAATTCAGTCTAGATCTCAATTTTCAGCTTAGGCTCATCTCTAGAACTACTGTATGGACAAACACACGTTTTATTCAGGAAAGTCCTCTTCTTTACAGAGAGCAGGAGCCAGATTTTCTTCATTTGAAACTGGTTTAGAACAGGAGTAAAACACTACTTGAACCTTCAAAATTACGCTAATATAACACTAACACAAAAGTAGAAAAGGAGCTGCAACAAAGTCCAGACAAACAGTTCAGATCTTAGGTTTGCAGGTGTAGCGGTCTGAGGTTTGTCTTGGATCCAGTGCCTGTTATTTCCTCAGCAAGAAGAGTTCTCTTCTCTTTCCTGTGCTGTTTTCACTTTGTATCAGTAATGCTCATTTTAACCCAGGGAGCATCTGTGCTTCAGAAAGCACTTGTGCTTGCTTGCTGCTTAGCTTTGGTGTTTGCTGTACTGTGGGTCATTTCAGCGTACCAAAAGCACACAATTCTCATTGGAGTCAGGAGAGGGGGAGCACAAAAAGAAAACTATTCCTGCCCCCACTCCGCTTGTGGTGCTCTGTGCCAGCACACTTTCCTCTCCCTCCTGTTCCTGAAAGGGAAGTGGGGTACCTCAACTTCCCTAAAGGACCATTAGAAAACTGTAATTTCAAAATGAGTTTCCTGTCCAAGGAAGAGGGCTTAGCACTTGCAAGAACAGTTCTCCACTGTAAGAGGCAGACATTTTAGTTTTATGAGGAACAAATAAAACATTCCTCTCTGCTTTACTGGCATAACACTTTCTTAGCCTCTTTAGTTACCAAATGACCTGTCTGCATAGTTATGCTGATCAGATGCAGAGAATAACACAGCACAACTGTTAGCAGGGCCTGATGTAGTAAAGAAATGGAGGTGGGGGAGGCAGGGGCAAACAAAGAATAGTCTTCTGTGTTAAGGCAACCTCTCCCCTTACCTTTCAGCCAGTGCAAACCCTCAGATATTTAAGATCACAATTACTAGATACAGAGAGATTGGGGTGTTTCTTTTCTTTGTTACATAGGTGCAAAACACTCCAGAAGTCAGTGGGGTGCGCTTGCATGCATCTTCGTGCAGATTTTGTGCCTTGGAATTTAACACAGTACCCGCCGCACAACAGGTGCCTGAAGCGCATCGCGATGTGTCAAAGCGTACGTGTCTGGACTGTGGCTCACTCCGTGATGACAAGCTTACTCTGGCTTTCTTCAGTTTTGTGGAGCTATTCAGGAGGGGGGCATTCAGGATTGCCTGAGCCTGCTAATTATGATTTGTTTTTTTGTTGTTTGGCTGAAATGTAGTCATGTTAAAAAAAAATAAATAAATAAAAAGCCTTGAGCCCTAGCAAGTGAGCGTTTTGGGGTTTTCTTTTGTTTTCCTAATTCTCAGCTGAAGTAAATCATGCACAATTTAAGAGTGTGAGGATCCTGAAAGCCTGTTGAAGTCCTTGATGACACTTAACTGTAATACATCCAGAAGCAACTATGGCTATTGCAGTAGATATCATAACCGGCTTATTATGCGGGTTGTGATGAAAAGTAGCTGGGAAATCATCATATTAAAATCAGTCTGATGTAAAGCCATGGTCTGTAGCTATATCGTGTCACTTTTTTAAAGATTTACAGAGTGTTACAGGAAAGTGATGTGATGATGTGAGCTTTGATTTTAATCTTCTTTTGCATTTCCAGGATAATGTCTTTATTCCCTTCCACTTGCCTATTAAAGCAAGTTTATGTAATAGCTTACTGTGCATTCAGTTCAGGTGTTACATGGGGAAGGAGTGCTGTAGAGTAGTCCTGCTGTTCAGTATGTTGTAGTATATTCAGATAGGATAGACTTAAAAGGGCATTTTTCCTTTCCTTTCATCTTTTTTTTAAGGATGCCATTTATGGGTTTACCAAAGCCAGTGTTACAAAAGCAGTAGAGAAACCTGGACAGAACCTTTCTTCTTTTGCTGCACAGTCTATAAATAAAATATAGCAATGCAGTTTAAATACAGAGTCAGATAAACGTGAGCTTCCACTTGTGTATTCGTGCCCCCAAACTTCTTATTTTAATTGCTTGTAGTTTACTTGCATACTTTGCCTGAGGCTTTTTAGCTGACGATAGATATGTTTAGTAGATAAAATGCTGGCCTTTCACCTTGTAGGCAATTATATAGAAAAGAATAATCTCACCTAATTCCATCAAGGACTCATACGTACAGTTGTTAAAATCAATTTGACATGATTGGAAATCTCCTGAAAGGAGATAATCTATTAGGAGTGAACAAACATGATTAATCCATTGCTTTTTCTCTTCTGTTCCCTTGAGAAAAAAATCATTAAGGTAGGGCAATCATTTTGCTGCAATCCTAACTTGGATGGCTGTAGCCCCTGTCTAAATAACATAGCAAATGAAAAACACACGGTAACATTTCATGCATGCATGAAAAAAAGAGAAACCTAAGTAATCACTCAGATTAGTGATACATTTGGCAAACCATTATTCTTTATTTACACACAGTGCTCTGTAGTCTGGTGATAGGAGAACGCTAGAAAACCCTACAAAGTTAGTGAAAATCAAGGTACTCCATTTTGAAAGGCCAAGAAAATTAGTTTAGAAAGTAGAATTTCAGAGAAGCATCAAGTCTTCCTTGATATAAAAAAAATGCTAGGAGAGTTAGAATTTGGTTGTTCGTGGGACAGTGTTTTATAACAGTTAAAACAAGTTGAGTTGCGTTCACATTCATACACTAACATCAAAGTGAGATAAGGGACAGGTATCCAGCTCTGAATTAGATACGGATGTCAACTGTGGAACATGCATGGTTACATCTTTAGAAATCTGTAAGTGCAATAAAAGGCTCTCTAGAATATCCAGTATATTCCAGGTTAGCATTTGTCTATGAGCATTTTAATTGTAGTCCCTGATAAAGTGACATGGATCATTTTCAGGAGTTACTGATAGTTACATAATGATTTAATACATGTTTTGGTATTAAAGAATTCACTGTTTAAAGCCCCTTTCACCAAACAACACCCCTTGATTTCCTGTGATGATCATATTTTAATTAAGGTGGGCTTGTTTTTCTCCCAGCGGAAATTCTTGAACTGGCTGGAAATGCAGCAAGGGACAACAAGAAGGGTCGAGTCACTCCTAGACACATCCTGTTGGCTGTAGCAAATGACGAAGAATTAAATCAGGTAAGAAAAGACTTCATCGTGTGAGGGCTGGGATTTCCTTTACGGCTTTTTAAATTGTCTTTCCATATAGCTGAATTGTAATTCAAGACCTCTCTGCTTCTTATGCAGGCCACCGGGAAGCAGTTCATTCATTCATTCATTCTCTCACTCTCTTGCTGTGTAACTAGTTCAAGTCCTCAGCTTAATTACGTGTTTCAGTAAATAAAATGGGTAACAATGCAAGGGAGATACACTACCACAGTGACCCACACTAGGAGAACAGCAAAACATCAGCGTGCCTGGAGACAACATTGCAGTCTCCTGGGAAATTGAATCAGCATTCTTCTCTGTATTCCAATCCTTATTTTTATTATCTAAAATCTTAATTAACTCTTTGTGGCCAGTTCCTGGAGTTGATGTAAAAAACATTGGGATTGGTAATTTGCAATGGGGCTTTAAAATTTAAAATTAAAAAATAGTCAAAGAAATTCAAACATAATTTATGCTATTAGAGGTCATGTATTTATATTGGAATATTATTCACAGGCAACAATCCAAATCCCAGCCCTCTGTGTTAGCTGCTGTCCCTGCATCGATACACTACTCCACAATGAAGTAGGAAAATCAACCTACTTCTTTCAGCCTGCATATGTGGTCCAGAAGTCTGGTCATACTTTCCATTCATCATCCCTTTGTGAGTCAAGGGCCTTCCCTCTTAGATCCTGGGCTGTGGTTAGGAGCACTCAATGTGCATCAAGAGGTGGGAGTAATCCAGGGGATTTACGTCACCTTTCGTATGCTCCCTAAGGCAAGGGCCATGTTGATCTAGGGCCAGGCATGAATTGGAGGGTGGAGTTAAGGTTGTTTTTAAATTATGAGACTTGATTTCCTCTGTGCTTGTAATGGTTTTCAGGTGCTGTGTGCCAGTCTGAATAGTTCTTTATGTTCCTTCAGTGGGTAAATCAGTGGCTCTCAACCTTTTAGACTCGGGGCACCCCTTGGAAAATGGCAGCTCTTAGTTTTCACTCATTTTTTTGACTACAGAAAAATAATAGAGCAGTTCTGTTGGAAGGAACTCAGAAAGACCACAACACATCAGAATTTTTTTTTGCACTTTGAATTCTTATTTGAAATAGGTTTTTCTTGTGAGTCATGTTTACTTACTTAACACCCTTGTTAAGAATCACTGGTTTACATGTTTGTAAAGACTTGGGTTCTTCTAACTGTAAAATTCCTGATATGTTTAACACTTCATTGGAAGTTTCTTCTCTACCTGTATTTTCTTCAAACAAAATTCAGGAATTTTGCAGGAGGCCCCACCTGCCCCCAAAAGCTCCCTACTGTGTGGAGTTTAGGGGCTTCATTCTTCTCATACTTTCTTCTAACATGGAGTCAAAGCAGTTTTCCATGCGTAAATTGATGGCATAGGTGGAAAGCCGGTCGTGTTCGAGTCCAAAAGACAATAAGCAAGGATATGTGAATCTTCTGACTGAATGCTGTGGTTTAAAAAAAGACATGATCAACTTATGTCATAGGTTTCTTTTTCTCAGAGACCATACTTATTGAGAACCGTCATAGAAGCAACTGAAAATAAATATGTGATGTATTAAGCAAATATGGGATTTGTAATAAATGCGGCTTGCTCTTAATTAGGGCATTAATGCTCAGTTTTACAATCTACATCTTTCTTTGCACATAGCTATTGAAAGGTGTTACCATAGCTAGTGGCGGGGTATTACCAAACATCCACCCTGAGCTGCTGGCAAAGAAGCGGGGATCCAAAGGGAAACTGGAAGCCATCATCACTCCACCTCCAGCCAAGAAGGCAAAGTCTCCCTCACAGAAGAAAACTGTATCAAAGAAAGCGGGAGGCAAGAAAGGAGCAAGGAAGTCTAAGGTAAAGTCATCTATATCAATCAGAACTCGCAGGGCAGGAGTAGGGTATCATTTAAAGTCTATATTCCTGGTCAGTGGGTAGCCCAGGTTACCGATCTCCATGCTTATCCAAAGAAGTATTAAAGGCCAAGTATCACCCTGACATTGTGTCCGGAGAGTCCACTAAAGGAGCACATATTTATTGTACAGGAAGCTAAGCTCAAGAACTGCAACTTTTGTGTGGAGCAGCAACTAAACCCTTTCTAGAGGCTTAAGAAGTGGAGAGTATGGTCGTAGCAGGGTGGAATTGCAGCCACTGGCTCTCAAAGAACTTAGTAGATCCAGAAGTCTCACTAGCAGCAGCTGTACGGTGTCAACACTGGGGCAGAGGGACAGCTTACACTTACTTGGTCTGTACGCAGAATATTAATGTGTGCACTAAGAAAAAGAGGATTTGGGTGCTGCTTTCAAAATTGGAATGATAGCATTTTGCAGTTACAAGTATTAAGAAAAGCATAACATTTGTTTGCCCATTTTATAATGCCTGTCACTAACAAAATCTATCATAATATTCCAGGGAATTTTGTTTTCAAAACAGGTTTAATAATACTTATTCAGTGAATTTATTGTAATTCAAGAATGAGTTTAGTTCTTTCTCTAAAACAGAGATAGCCTTTTACTAGAGGAGGCAGTTAAGTCCCTTTCTGTAGTGGAAAAATTATGTTCTATTTAGCTTCACTGAATAGATTTGTTAGCTAAACCAGAATATTACAAATATTCTTCTTTTAACTCACCAATTTTATTTTGCTATAATTGGGATTCTTCTATGTCTTGAGCTGGAGATTCATTTCCTAAAGACTACTTAAATTCATTCAAACTTTGATAGGGGGGAAGACTTGAAATGGAACACAACTGTAATATGCTCTCTTTTTTGTTTGCATGTTTTAAAGAAATTGGGGAAAACTTTATAGTTAATATTTCCCCCTTCACCACCTCCTCCCCACCCCCCACATTCTGATGTGTACAGATTAGGAATTTCTTTTGTGCATGGGTGCCACACAACCAACATTTAATGCATTTAAAATGTGTTTGTGAAATACGGTGCTTGCTAAAATTATGAGTGCTCCAAGTTCACCTGCAGTTAAGGTGCTGCTGTTGAAATGGTACTGTGTTCAACAAAGCCAGTCCTGTGTGCTTCATTTGTGGGTTACTTTCTTGATTTTTCAGGAAAGTCATTTTTGAACTCTTTTTTTTTTTTCATAGTCCACCTAGTAGCTGACATTTGGAGCACAGAGCTTCTAATAACCATGCGCTAATAATTTCCCTGAATCTGGATTTTTTTTCCTAGTTGATTACAAAAGCAGGAAGTCTGTTGTGGGGTTCTGTTTTTCTTCCACACAAACTGCATTGTCTGCTTACTATACACTAGTATTTGGCTAACAATAAACTCCCAGGGAATTGAAATAGGACCCATGAAAATCTAATTTGCAAAACATTTGTATAATGTAAAGCATGGCTACAGCTTTGAGAAACAAAACATACTCCTGCATCTAAACCATTTCAGTTGTTAGTCACTAGTTATGTTACATATTTTTGGGGGGGGGCATAGAAGACACAGTAGTGTCCCAAGTACAGGTTTGATGTATCAGGTTTGATGAGGTACCACATATTTATGTTAGTTGCAGTGATTAATTTTACTTGAAATTAAAATGAATAAGATCAACACTGTTTCCAGCTGTTGAGTTGAAACAACTTCAGTAGCTACCAGGGTTCTCATTAACAGCCCTTCAGAATTGTACCATTCTAAATCTTGTCTAATAAATGATCCATGCCAAACACCTGTTGTTCCAATTACCTAATCTGGTTAGGTAAAAAGGAGAAACCCTGTAATGTTTATTGAAGGTAATATTGGATAACCTAGAATTGCTTTTAAAAAGAATTTAACCTCTACCTGAGACAGGAGGCATGCAGGTAATAGAATTATATTAGTGATGTTCCCAGAAGGGTCTGATTTCAAAAGTGTGTTTAAAAACGCGTCTGTGAATTTTCCATTTTTTCACATTAAGACAGATGCCAATTTTGCTCTTATGAATGCCAAGGGCATGCCTCCACTTGCATGCACAAATAAGTATGTTGCTCTCATGCACAAACATTTTTAGAACATTGTTCAAATTTCTCTTCTATAGTTTGACTATTCAGTTCTCTAATTCAGTTCTCTAATTTGTGCAATAAGCAAACAGAGGCTGAAGTAGACATGGAAACATTGAAACTTTTGCACATATATAGCCTCCTTTTAATATTAATTGCATGAGAAACTAAAGAACAGAATCCAGTCTCGTAGCTCATGTTTGCAATTTATCTCATGGTAAATACAGTTGCATTTATGGCATGACATATTTATCAGTGTATTAGACTCTCCATCTCGTGCTTAGTTAAACTAATAAACTATATTTTTGCAAGAAGAAGCAAGGAGAAGTGAGCAAATCAGCAAGTGCTGACAGCACAACAGAGGGAACCCCTGCAGATGGATTCACAGTCCTGTCCACCAAAAGCCTTTTCCTGGGCCAGAAGGTATGTTTGTGCATTTGATAAATCAATCCCTATTTTGTGGTGTTGCTTTAGGGGAGTTTCCCCTCGCAAAACCAGTCGGTGCTCCATCGCTGTTCCCAGCGATGGAGTTCATGTGCATGTGCAGTACTGAACAGGTCTTTGAGGAGCATCATTTTAGTCCTTGAACAAAGAAATCCCCTGAAACCATTTTTAAACATTGTGTTTTATAAATGGGTCTCCATGTGCCTACATAACCACATGTTCAGACACAGTGACATTCTGTTTGCAGTCTGTAACCTCCAACATTTTTATTCATAGACAGTGTCATTGTAACAGCTAAACTTCTGCCAGTGCTGAAATTTTGCTAAGGATAAAATGGCTTTACTAAAGGGCAGCCCACTTTATTGCCAATATAAATGATTTACAAGCTTCTATCAAAACCTATTTAAGCCATTTGTTTATAATAGATTTTTTTTTAATAAAAGCTAATGCTGTACAATAATGAATGACGCTTTTATGAAAAGCTATATATCATCAATCCTATTTTCCCTGTGAATATACTTTGGGAGTTGGGGGAGGTTTAAAGCAAAAATATCACTTTAAAGAGGCATCTAATTCAAGAAATTAAACTAGTTTCTTATCTTGAAACACATCTTTTTCTTATGTGATAATTTTTTTTGAAGTAAAGCTACATCTTTCTTTTATCATTCAGTAGCCAAGTCATTTATTGTAAATCATAAGCAATGAACCATTTTTGTCCCGTTGTGGAATGCATCTCTTGGCTCACTTTTATTTCGTATCAAGGTTGTATTCCATTTATCATTGTTCAGCTTGTCTGCTAAGTTTAACATGCATGAAAATAACTGTATTTTATTATTTGCCAAAAGTTTGTGCGTCTTATGTGCAGTTTGCAACCCAGGCCAGAATATCATTTTGGAGATGGCTTTGGCTTGCAGTAGTTGGCTAGTTCTGCAGTGTTGGTTTTGAAACACTTGAAAACATTTTAGTTAATTAAAATCCAAAGTTTATCGTATCTGTAAGGAAGCAGTTTTAGGCTTTTGAAACTGATTTTGAATTCCTTTTGGTTACCATAAGAATAATTTAATATCAATTCATGCCATGCTGTCACAGACCTGAGATCAGTGGTCCCTTCTGTTGCTTTATATGAATCCTAAAATTGCCTTGTGGATATTACTTCCCATCATCCCTCATGTCTAGCACTGGGATGCAAGGTAGTGGTCCCAGAACTTCACACTCAATGGTTTCCTTCTTCACCTTGAGGAGTATACTGCCATTGGCCATCCACCCCAAGCCCATTTCATACCTTCCCCTGATCTCAAGGAGGCGGGCAGGTTTCATTCTGCCTTCATATACAGACACACAAAAGATCAGAAGTATGTAAATATGATGCTTGTGCTCCTTTAATTAAGAACCCCAGATGAAAGGTGCACTTCTGCTGAAGTATAGAGGATAAATCCACCAACCATTAAAGACCACATTTTGCTTTTAGTTGCATGGTACAAACTGCCATTAAAGTTAACGAGACTTTAGTGCAAAAGGCAAAGAGAGAAAATACCATATCTAACAAATAAAGAATTCCCTACATCCTACTGTCCGCAACAGTTCTAGTTCCCTTGAGCTGACAAATAATGAATCAGTTACTTCGGTGATGCTTCTCCTTGGAAAAAACACTTTTTTTTTTTCCTTTACAAACCATCCTGGTTTTGAATACATTCTTTGTAAGAGTAAGCATGTGGGAAGTTTAAAATGAAAAAAAGCATTTGCATAGTGGTGGCTAAGAACATGATGTCTTTGAACATATGCATATATCAAGCAGACAGGATCATATAGCCTGTCTGTTGATCATAAGGAATATTTTCAAAACCATTCCCTAGAATTTCCTTTTTATAGTGTGCCTCGCTATGTGATTTTTCCCAGTGGTCAAACAGGATTGTGGGCCAGACTCTGAGAGCCCTCAGCATTCACAGAATTGATAGGACGAGAGAGTGCTTCTCACCTTGCATGGTTTAGATACGCTGTGCATGAGCAAAATAAGAAATTGCTGATGGTTGGTATTGTTACAGTATGTCTGTTGCTATGTCTAAACTGAAGAGGGCAAGTAGGTTGAACAGACCAGGACCTAATTTTAGTTGCTAATGATGTTTTACTGATGGACATTCAAATAACCATTTTCCTTTTTCTGAGAGCTTTACAGATTACATAGATTACATAGCGATAATGCATTTTTTTTTTACAAGTTGCTGACTGTACTTAGTTTAACTGTTCTGTTTAGTCAGTTATAGATGCAATTGCTGTTTAAAAAGGTGCTCATAATTGAAAGTTTATCTAAAGCCATTAAGTATGATACCCCATTTCAGGAAAGAATCTGAAGCTTTGGTGTGGGGCTTTAAATAGGTGTCAAATTGCATTTGTGAATTAAATTTTCTTAAACAGTAGACATTTATGCTAAACAATGGTTAATACTAGGGGCGTGTGAAATCGTCTGTATTCGATTTGGATTCGGCCCAAATTGGGGACAGCGATTCAATTTGTTGATTCGGATCACTGTCCCCGATTCGATCCTTGTCCCTGATTTGATTCATCTTAATCCAAATCTGAAGGTTCGATGCTGATTTGGAGAATCAGTGATTCGGACATAGACGTAGCTTTAAATGATTTGTCTGCATACCTCGAGGTACCAGGCATGGCTCGTGAATGCTGTGATGCTGGGGCACATAGAGTGTCCCACAGGAGCATGGGGGCCCCTGCATGCTTGGCAGCAAACCTGGAAGCGGACCAGAAGTACTTCCAGTCCATTTCTGGGTCTGCTGCTGAGCATGCAGGGGTTCCCCCCACAACCCTCCCCAGGCTTAGCGATTGGCCGCAGGAGGATCCCGGGTGCCCCTCCAGACCCAGAAGGCACCAGTCGGCTCCATCCACTCCACTATCTTGGCATTCACGAGCTGCACCTGGTACCTTGAGGTATGTAGAAAAAACATTTAAAGCTGTGTCTATGTCTGAATTGTCGAATCTCTCCAAATCGATTTGGAGGGTTCTGATTTGATTTGGATAGATTAAAGGGTCTCTTGATTCGATTCAGATTCAGAGAGTCACCCACCGAATCGGGGCGAACCTCTGCTGAATCAAATTGGGGACTGGAGCTTCACACATCCCTAGTAAATACTGTCCAGCAGTATGCTTAATATTACGATTCCTTAAAATTTCTCACTGTGTAGTATTTTCAGAGGGAGAAAAGATTGTTTCCTTTTTTTATAAGCAGTTAAAAGAAAGATTCACATAAAGTTATTGGAAACCTAAGGAGTGATCTGGTTTTGCTTCAGTCGTAGTCTCAGAATTGTGGGATATTGTACAAAAAAGTAATACAGCTCAAAATTCATGGTCAACCATATACTAAGAGAAGTGTTCAGGTGGTTAATATAGAGGATTGAGAGTTATGACTCCTGGTTTTGAATTCCTGGCATTTTTGTCACTGACATTCATGTCTCTACACCTCAGTCTCCCATTCTGTAAAACAGATAACCAAATTTCCTCACAGGGGTGATAGGAAGTCTTATCATGTGTTGATGAGAATCCTTTTGAGCTGGTCCTTTGAAAAGCACTAAAGTGCAAAGGATTCATATTATCCATCTTTGCTTTAATAGAGGTTCTTTTTGAAATATTTGTGGCTTGATTTTGATGCATTTCACCTTTCATATTGTGTGCCTTTAACAAGAGTTAAAAAATTACTATACATATCTTAAAATCCAAAACATAAAACCTTTCCCTAAAAGTAGCAGACTACCTTCAGTCTTCCTGCTCACCTTTCCAGTATGTCTAGTAGGTGTGCAAATCCAGGTCCTGATAGCCCAGTGGAGAAAGCAAGACTTCTTATTACTCTGTCATCCATGAGGCTTTAATATGAAAAAAGTCCATTTCCTGGTTCAATACTTGCAAGAGGGAAAGGGTTTACTTTTAAGAACCGTGCTCTCTGTCAATCTAATCTGCCCAGAAGATTTGATTACTGAAACCGTGGTAAAAAATATGTAAGAGCTGGATACTATGTTTTGCATAAATATTTAGATAGCTTTACTAATCTGCAGTTAAATTAAAGATTTTCAGATTGGAAATGGCAGGGATCTTCCTATAGGGAGAAGAAAGCCCTCATACACAAACCTATTTATTAGTATTTATAAGACTTAATCTATTCTAATTTGTGTCCTACAGACAGTTGGGGATCTGGAATGACTATTTTGTATGTTAACCAAAGGTGTTCAAAATTGGATTTCTTTTTTTTCTTCCAAAGTTATTGCTGAACATATGCTGACTGGAAAATTTGAGTCAGAAGTATCAGGGTCGGTATTTTCAGTTATCTCAGCTTGCCTTATAATAGATATCCCCACTTTTGGGTGCAAATTGAATTGCTAAGTAATTGAAGGCCAAGAAAACTTCCATGACTTTATAAGTAATTTAACTGAAATAAGAATGCCAAGGTTTGGTCCAGTGATACTTGTAAATGTTAAGTGCTACAGACAGGGTAAGTACCAGACGCACACTAGCTCTTCTAACCTTAAACATTAGATAATAAGTACATGCCAACGAAGCATGTGCTAGTGTAATTTGTGGCTGTTTTAAAAAATGTGGTCCTCTCTTTATGGATCAGTTCTGTTCTCCAAAGTACATACTGTACACTGTTAGGCAATACACTGGGCCACTTCTCATCAGAGGATTTAATTCTCAACCAGTGTTTTTAATTTCTATTGTAAGTGGACATTACATAGCTGTCACTGTACAATAAGAGCCTAATTCAACCCAAAAAATGTCTGCTGCTACATAGCAGAAAGTCGGCTTAAGGCAATGGATGAAGGAGGTTTTTTAGATAGATTGTGTTTATAATTAAATTGGAATTTACATTCAGAACTGGGTGCTATGCAAATCCCACAAATGTATGGATAGAGAGGGAATTCAAAATTGAAAATCCAAAATGGCTTGGAATGGATAGAATTTGAAGGGAAAATCTACCCAACTGGGAATTAAGGAACAAAAGGAGGTAACTTTTATATGTAACAAACATGCTTAAACCCGTATTTCAGCTTAAATCCCCATATGAGCAACTTCTTATTTTAATGGATACAACCAACTTTTATTGGTTTGGGGTTTTTTTTAAACAGCAGTTGCTTGTAATCACATTCAAGGCAGACTGGATTGTGTGAGTAACTAGAGGTGTGTGAGCCATTAAAGGATTCACAGCTATTTGGAAATCAAGCTTTTCCACATTTCATTACAAACTCAAAAATAGGCCCATATTTGAAACGATCTTAAAGCACGCTAATCTGAGTTAAACTGAGTATTTTATTAAGTGATTACAGTTCTCACACACAAAATAAGCAAACAATCATGGATGCACTTGCCATTGTAAAAGGAAAAAAAGTAACATCATAAACACACAAAATGAAATGGTGAAGACTTTCCATTACATTTCATAAATTAATTTTGTCCATCTCTAATGACTCTTGGACATTCAGATTTTCAATAATACTGGAAAACTGGTTTGAAATATCAAAACTTCTATTTTTCATTCCCTTTCAGTAAATTAACTTTCATACACATGGGGAAGATAAGCAGGTGTCATCTTCACATGGCCTGTCGTCATGTTCAAATTTTGGTCCAGAAACAGGCACATAGCATTGATCAATCTGTAGCCTTAGCAAGGTCCTCATTGGTGCATGGTTCCCCTGTGCATGGGCAGCCCAGTAGGTGTTCTGTAGTCTGAAAGTTTTCTCCCTGTTTGCACGTGGTGTTTACGTCATTGGAGCATCCACATGGTTGCATGTTAACGTCACTCTTATGGACCCTTGTTCAGAGGTGGTTTCAGGCTTTTCCATCTTCGCAAATCAAAGCGATATGCAAAGATGAGCTGTAAAAATTCTGGAATATGGATTACAACCCAGCACTGTGCCTTAATGCATTTGATTATATTAAAGTATTCATTCCAACTTCGTATCAAACCCACTCTGAATGAAAAGAACTTTCTTTCTAAGTAATTGCCTCTGATCAGCTACTGAAACCACCCCCCCCCCCATTTAAGTGTATGCCCAGAATTCTCCCAATTGCAGCCATAGACATAATTATAATATACATTGCTGTTGTCACCTACCAGATGACTAGGGAGATTACAGATAGATCATTGTTTTCCAAATTTACTGATTATTCTGGACATGATAAAACAGGATTTTTTTTTAACTGATAACAGAAATTGATGCTTTTAAAAATCAAAGGCTTTGGAGAATTGTTACCACTTCCGGAGCAGTGTATACACGAGCAGGGAGACTGCTCTGATGCACTGCAATTCCAGCATGTCGGAGCAGACTTAATTAATCAAATCTGCTGGAGTGTGTTAATTACTGCACTCCAGCAGACTCCCATGTCTCGTGTATCGGCATCCCTGCACTTCAAAAGGGTGGTGGGGGCGTTTTATCTAAAGCTTGTCTGATGAGCTTTAAATAAAGTGCCGTTGCTGCCATTTTGAAGCACAGGGGTGCTGATACACGAGATGCTCTGGGTGCTTTAATTAGAGCAGCTCTCAGAGCCACTGTAAGTAAAGCACAACCCCTCCCCCCAACTCCCAAAGCATGTATATAAACGCCCAGTGTGGCTTGAGGCATTCATCATGCAGCTCTGTCAGTGTGCTGCAGTCCTCACTGGCCTCTTTACTCTGATGGATCTGTCATGAGCAATCTGACACACCTATTAAATGGCCCCATAGTACAGAGTGGTTTCTGTGATGTGGACTAGGATGAGACTCCCAAACTTGCTGTCAGTGATGAATAAATTGCACTAACAGAATGCATCACCGAGCATTTCCAAAAAATGTTCTTCCTGGTATGATATTGTAACTTCAATTCTTCATCCTTGACAAGTCTGCATTTCTCATTTGAGCAGGACTTTTGATTTTATATAATACTTCATAAACCTTGCTCACAGTATGTAGCTAGATCTTATAACCTGCATTCCCTAACATGTCACTTAATAATGGTATCATTTAAAAAAAAAAAAGGTAAAATATAAGGTTAATCTCCAGATGTCCATGTTAATAATTTTATAACCAAACTACAAACTAGTGATAAATCCTAATCCCATAATAAGTGTTGCCATAAAAAGTGGTCTCAGATTAAGCATAAATGGACATGGTTTACCAACTGCAGCTGGAAATATTTGACGCAAAGGGGGGAAAATGTTTGAGTAAAAGAGAGCACCTAAAAATACTTCACTGGCTTGCAGAACATTTCTGCACCATAAGCCAGGAGCACAGAAAATAGACAGCCTTACATTTACTCATCTGCATCACCAACACTTCCACCAAAGTGGCTCAGAGACGGGCAAAAAAGCATTCAAGTTACCAAAGTGCAGACTTCCGCAGGAAAAGTGCTTCATCCTTTTTAGAACTGACAATGCCTTTGGACATAAATTTCCAGTTCCTCAAAATCACTTTCACATATAATGGATTCCACAAGAAAAGGAGAGCTGTTAAACCATCACATTTGGTTCCAGAACTGAAAAATCCTGACATACAAAGAATTAATTACTCAAGCTGATGCTTAAAAAGTCATTGGAGTGCCTTTTGTACCAAGAGTTCAAGGGGAAGGAAGAGATGGTTGTCCCTTTCCCACATCAACACAGAAATTCCAGAGAATTTTATAACTAGAATAGAGCTCATTAACAAGAATATCCATTTGCTTTCAATGTCCAGAACAATGTTTGAGTCCTGTGTTTGAAATTTGATTTTTTTTTTTGACAAATAACCCTTTGACCCATGTTTTATTTTGCATATTTGTTTGCAGTGATGCTATCTCCATCTGTGTTGCAAAGCTCACTTTTCTGCAGCTTCTCTGTGATTTCCCAGCTGTCCTGTTATTTCCCACCTCATGCTTTTCTTTTCAGCTGAACCTTATTCACAGTGAAATCAGTAATTTAGCCGGCTTCGAGGTGGAGGCCATTATCAATCCTACCAATGCTGACATTGACCTTAAAGATGACCTAGGTAAATGGGGAATGGGTTCACACAACTAACAGTCATATGAAAATTATGGAACCCAGAATTTATTCTCTCAAGCTTCAGATGTGAAAATTAGGCCACAAATTCTTATGCCATCTTCTAGGTCCTGTTTTCTTGAGGACCTAAGAAGCACAATATGCACCAAATCTAAGTATATATACTTTTGTTAGTGATTTGTCTTCAAGTTGAGTGCAGTCAAAATTAGATGTAGTCTAAATTCTTTTCCATAATGATCAAACGTGACTGTTAGTTACTTTGGGGGGGTTTCTTATGTGGATTCTTTGAGGACTAAAATGTTCTTTGTCAGGTTAATTTCAAAATAAGAAGTTTCTCCATTCTTCCTGCAATCTCTTATGTTTAGTGGTTCACTAAAATAGGCACAGAAGTGTGTATAGAGGCATGACCAGATAATTAAATACCCCCCAAATTATGGCCATGCCTTAGTTTCATGTTTCATTTGATCAAGTAGCTTGTTTTTTTATGATGTTTTAAATTTCCCCGTCTCCATCACCTCTATATTCAGCTAGAACAAATGCTGATTTTTATAGTAACGTAAAACTTGAAAATATATTACTGGGCATGGTGTATGGTTTTTATGGCTTCAGTCCATTCCAAATAAAATATTACTCTTTCACATAAGTCCATGTACTAGAAAAAAGTATTAGCCTGGGTACATCTCATGGACTGTGAACCGTTTTTAATATTTGTTTGATTATACCTGCTACTTTCATTATTTTTCAGACTTCCTTCATGGAAAAGTAAATTTAATTCCATTACCACTGCATTTCATAAATATATGTATATGTGTAAATACCAGGAAAAAGATTTAAGAAGGCACTTGAGCCTTCCAAAATATACACGTCTTTTTTTACACTTTGCTTGGCCAGACATCTGTCTTGTTTCTAAAAACAAATAAACAGATTGATAGAAGAAAATAATTACCATCGAGCTTTATTTAAAAAAAAAAAAAAAAAAATTAAGTGATTTTGAAACAATATAATTAGATGGATGAAATGTAAATTTCAAAATCTTACTGGGGTCTGTGCTTTAAAAAAATCAAATACCACATACTTCTGCCTACAAATATAACGTTTCCTCAGTGTGAAAGAGAATTCTGTTTTAGAAGCAGACAAAATGATGGGAAATTGCAAATATAAAAATGTAAGGCCATCTCATTTATTGATGCTGACAAAATGGAGAAACTAGTTATTTTGTTTGGTTTGATGATACAGAATTTTTTTTTTTAAGCAGACTGCATACTTTAGTGTCATGCTCTGTGGGGTACTGGTTTTATAGGTTTCTTCAAAATGAAATGGGGTGTTAACTGGTTTAAAGCTTCAGAAATGATCTCACGTGATTGCTTTGACTTGTCATTTTAACATTTATTTAAATATGTCGTCGTCCTCCCCTCCTGCTCCCCATTCTGCCTTCTCTACACACACCTGCACACACAACTCAGAAAACTCCTTTGGTGCCAGGTTTGGAGTTGTGCAGGTAGGAAAACATGGCCGTTGGTACATGTATAAATGTAGAGCCTGCCCTGGGTCTCTGTCCAACGTGGTTGATATACATTTGTTTACCTGTTGTAGTTGCAAGTTGTACAGGCTGACATTGCCACGATCGACAGTGATGCTGTCGTTCACCCGACAAACTCTGACTTCTACACCGGTGGTGAAGTAGGTAATGGAAAGTTCAGTGCTGCGGAGTTTGTATGTGTGTGCATGGTCAATCAGCAGCAACAAGCTTGCCGTAGCTATGCAGATCTGCATTCATTTCTCACTTCCAGCAGTCTTGACTGAAGTTTAAAAAGAAATGAGTACGTGCAAAGTTGGGCCCTTCTGATTTGCATTGTCAAATCAGACATTTAAAAGCAATATTAGAATGCACCACCCAAATTGAAATGCAAGAAGTAGAAGTGCAGTGCGGGCATGTGCCTAATAAAAGGGGATTATGGGATTGTTTCTTGTTTTGGCTTTGTAAACATCTAGCTTTGAACAAAGTCAATCCATAACCCTTACATTTCTGACATGGATTCAGTATTCTAGTCCTTGCCAAGTCTGAGATGTTCACATCTGACATTTTGGATGTAGCCGATCTGGAATTTCTAAACTCATAAACTCAGTACTTAGTTTTGTCACACTTTACATATAGACCTATTATCTAGTAAGCCATCTCTATATTTATGTGCACACACATCAAAACTTTGCTACATACTATTCAGACATGCCTACATGCTGCTCTGATGAAAAGGTATGGCAGACAACATGACACAAGAGCTCTGTATTTTTCTTAATAATCCGGTTTGTTTATAACTTTTCATCCCAGCACTTTCAAAGCAGTGTGTTACCCTCTCAGAGGGTATTGGATGTAATTTTATTGTAAGTGCCTAGAAAACGTGAGCAAACAATGTAGTTGTGTAACCTGTAATTTGGACTGAATGTAAAGGTTGTTGCTAAGAGTGGTAACCCATTCTTATTAAAAGGGTGTGTTCATATGATCACAGCCTAGTTTTACATTTCATCTTAACCTAATCACCATCATCCACATGGTGCCCCCTGTGCTTGGGACATTATTTCAGTACCTGTTTAAAGTGACGAGCATCCCTTACAGAGTTGTCAGCACTTCATACACCACCTTGAGTTTTCCCTAAAGATTTTCCTTCCAAGTAATGCCCAGCCCAAGTCAACTCTTCTTAGTTTATTAGAGCAGAGGAGATAACAACTTGAGCTGGTATGGCCACAGACTTGATAATTAAAAAGAAGTTTGTTGGCATCAGAAGGAAAATGCAGGAGTATTCTGTATTTGAAGAACATGCTTCTGAAGTCAGCGAGGGTCCGTTAGCTAACAGACTCATCCTTCACCTTTGCTGAAGAGCTGCTTTTGCAAGTAGCCTATAAAGAAACTTTATATCAGAGCTGCACTGCTCGTAATTTAGCATAGATTCCATTTCCCTCCCGACTGCTGTAAGAAAGAATAAAGGTGCACAAATGCTTAGCTTCACATGATTAACGTTTACCCAGCTGAAAATTTTTTCTAACTGATAAATGTACTGTGGGCTTATCCTAAACATTTTACAAGCCTAAATTTCTGTTTGGGCTGTGTTTTCAACACTGATACCAATGCCTGTTGGAAAGCATGAGATAATGATCTTATTCTCATGGGAGTGACACACATTTATGCCTGTGAGCAAATAAGCCACTAACCTTGAAGCTGTGAAGCTAGACATTCAAGAACTTTACTAACATAGTGGAAGACGGTTAAATGCAATGTGTCCTTTTTTTAAGATGAAGCTAATTTACAGCGAAGTATTAATGTATGAATTTAAACTCCAAGCCTTGCTATCAATTAAAGAAGAGACTGAATTTAATTAAAAAATGAATGCAGATGTTAGTGTTAATGTACATGGAAAACTTCTTTTCTTTTCCTCAGCTCTACAAGAAGAAAAGAATCAAATTTCTTAAGTAAAAAGTGAAACTGTCATTTTAAATAAATTACTGGGGTGTGGTTTTGGTTTTTTAACAATAAACAAATGCCCAGCAGAAGGAAAGGAAGTCCTGTTTCCTGGTACATTTATAACTAATATGGATGATCTAACAGATCTTTCCTATCATAAATTCTATGCAAGACTTAATTATATATCCCTTTTCTACATTTGTGCTCAAAGGATCAGGGCCGCACTCAGCACTGGTTGAGTTAACAACCCATTTCCCCCACTCCTACATGCCCAAGGGAAGGTGGCTGCACAAGGGCAATGTTAGCTATGCCTCTTAAATAGGCTTAGCAAAGGGCACCCCTCTCTGTCCTGGGAGGTGTGTAAAGGGATCCTGCTTAATCCTCACCAGCAACTCAGGTCAGGTTGTGCACCTGCCCACTCTCCCCCAGCTAGCTCTCACTCATAGGAGTCTCTTTGGTTCTGTAAACAGAGCTATAAATGTGCCATCTGGAACATTTCTGATGATGGAGAGTTCACCTCATCACATAGCAGTCCAGATTGCTTCTGAGGAACTATGGAGTTAATCAGGAAAAAAATTTTGAGGTGTGTGAAAATAATCCCAGAGCAAAATACTGAAAAATTGAGATGAGTACGGTAAACAAGGTAAATCCTGGGCCTACAAGGTCTGGAACTTTCAGTCCATGCTTAAACAAAACTCCCAGTGCTAAGTAATCGTGACTAATGAAAATGGGATACATCATTTTTTTTAAAACTACCAACACACTTTTTTTTAAATGAACTGCATTTCACAAAAAAATAAGAGGTAAGCCCAGGAAGTCAGCATACAAATAATGCATTCAGTTACTGTTTCCAAAATATTTTTAATATTAACTTTTTGCAGGGTGGGGGGGGGAGCAGGAAAGTAATAATGATGTCAAAGCAGAGGCTTCATTGAGCATATATGTGCACTTCCATCAGAACACAACAGTTTTTTTCTTCTTGACCAGTAAAAGGAATGGGTTTCACCAAGTAAATGTCTAGATGTATTAAGAGTTTCTAGTCCTGGATTTTTGGAAATCAATTTTCAGAAGTAATATCTCAAATCACAAGCTTTCTGATAGCACTGCTTCTTACTTTACCTACCTGTATTATTCATATGCACAGTGCAAAATGATTTGGGATGCTTAAGTAGTTAGGAAAATGTTTTCTTGGGCTATTTTCTTATTAACATATAAAATTAGAGCTGCAAAATAAGATCTAAACCATTTAGTGTTGGACTGCCTTTGTCAAGCACACCCCCTGTGTTACCCTGACACTGCACAGCTCTCTTCCTCCCGGAGCGACAGTGTCCAGCTCCTTAGCAATAGTTAGAGAAGTTCATTGGAGGAGTATGTTCCTTCGAGATTCTCCTTATTTCTGAGGCTCTTCCTCTTGGTTGAAGGTGGCTCAACAATCTGGGCAGTTACCAAGTAAAGCAGCCCGCTGCACTCACGAGACTGTTTCATTCCTGGTGCCACCTGTTGGGGTCAGGGACCAAGATCAGGTGAGTTTCAAATTCTTATTGTGGCAAATCACTCTTTAAAAACAAGTTATAACAGAAAGGGGAAATGAGTCCTAAGGGAAGGAATGCTGAACCCTCAAGCAGCATTGAGGGAGCGCCCTCTCCTGAAACACTGCACACTAACAGGTGCTCTGCAGTAAGAAGGCAACCAGGGATGTAATTGCACAGATCTTGACACTGAAATCGGAGAGTGAGGTCAGCAAAGGGATGCAAATGAGAGGCTTGGGGTTGTTGTTTTTTTATTTTTTTTAACTGACTAGCTAACTGTGAAGTCCCAAAAGGTTTAGATCTTACTTTGCAGTCCCCAAAAACGTTTGGGCAGAAAAATCTAGGATGTCTGACCACATAAAAGGATGAATCATGTTTCTGCTTTAGGAGTGAAAAAGTAAAGTAAAACCTGTCTTTGTTCAGGAAGCACTTTGGAAAAGAAAGGTGGCAAAGAATTTGTGGAGGCAGTCATTGAGCTTCGCAAAAAGAATGGGCCCTTGGAAGTAGCAGGAGGTGAGGCTTAAATCTCTGCAAACTTACTGATGATGCTTTTGTAGGCTCTGGGATTTTTAACTGAGTTTTTCTGCATGTTATATGTAAGTAAGTCACACTCAGAGGCTGTGAATTTTAATGTAGCAATTGCATAAGTGATTCTGTTCTAGTTGTTATCTGACCCCCTATCAAAAATGAAAGACCACAGATTCCACACACATACAATGACAAAGTTTAATTTATTACCAAAGTATTAATTTAATACCAAAAAATAAAAATCATCCTTTTTCACAAACAAGTATCAAGGTGTGTGTGTGTGTATACATAAGCATACATCAGCACATATGTCTGTGTGTACTGGAGGATATCTTTGTTCCTTAACATCCAAATCAATAAAGCACATAAGCCTGTTTTTAAATCCATTCCTACAAAGCATGTGTTTTATACTGAGGTTCTAATGACCTTGATGGGACGAAGGCCCCACCTACACATTACTCTTAAGGCATGATTAACCAGTCACCCGGCCACATGTTCAATCAATTAATGGTGTTATAAAAAGAGGAATAATCTGCAAAGTAATTCTACAAAATATGTGTAGTAACTTTGTAGCTGCTTGCTATCTTGCCATTAATTGTATGTGTAGCCAGGAATCCCTGTGGCTGGGAGCTGTGTCAGCCGATTAGAGCTTCCAGCTCCGAGGGACCCATGTGCACCCTGAGTTCCCAGGCTGTTGCAGTCAGCTGAGGGGGCTCCCAATTGCAGTAGCTTGCTTCTTTCCAGGGCAGAGGGAGCCCAGGATCAGGTTCCCCTGCCCTGGCAAGAAAACATGATGGTATCCAATTCACAATCCCACAATCGCATCTCCTGTCCATCCCGGCCAGGTGTCTGTCCAACCTGCTCTTGAAAATCTCTAAGTCGATTATAGAGAAGATAGAGATGGGCTTTTCTCTGTGGCCATAGAGAACAGGACTAGGAGCAACGGCCTCAAGTTTCAGCAGAGGAAATTTAGGTTGGAGATTAGGAAGAACTCTCTGACTATGAGGGTGGTCAAGCATTGGAACAGGCTACCTAGAGAAATCGTTTCAGTGCTTTCTCTACCAGTGTGATTTCTGTAAAAGTTTGAGTGTTTGATGTCCAATTTATCAGTTTTCATCTGAACAAATCTAATATATGAGCAATAAAGTTTGATAAATGATAAAGCATAATATTAGGCCATCTGTAAACTTGCTGATATATGTTATGAATAAAGAACTCTGATTCTGCCATCTGTGTTTACAGTGTACAGCTAAATAGAGTACATGCAGTTTACAAAATAAATGCTGAGTAAACCCAGGAAAAAATGTAAGCCTTGGAATATGACAGGAAAACTTATGGCTGTTTACTCATGGTGCTTATTTTCACTTTTTTTCACGCGCTCTGGACTTTCCTTATTTATCCAAACTCAAGCATGGAAATATACATTTACATGCAATGCTTATTTTATTAGCAAGAGTTTGTATGTGGAGAAAACTATAGGATTGGCAGAACACTATCTTCTGACTGACCTTCTTGCTACATGGACCAGGCCCGCTTTGCTCAAAACAGAATTTCAGACTAGAGGGAACATTTACTTTCCACTCCCCTACACCCAAGGGAGCGGCCTTGCAATCCTACACTAGGGCAAGTCTCTCTGTTAGACCAGTAAAAGTGTCCCTCAAGGACTCTCTTCCCAGCTGGATGATTCCCAGAGAATAGTTGGCTCCAGTCAAATAAATACCTTTGGCCCCTGGGGATTCTCTCCAGATGTGTGTGTTGGGATGGGAGAAATTCTCCTAACCCAGCAGGGGCTAAAGCAGGGTCCTTATCCTGGAGTAGAGGTTGACATGCAACATTTATAAATGTTATAGAAAACTGTGTAAAATACTTCTTCTTTCAAAGCACTTTCATTTGAAATACATAACAGTAGCTCCAGGCAATTACCAAAGCAGGAGCTGGCAATGTTTTACAAGCCATGGTCAGAACAACCCAGCTCTGAGGAAGGGGGCTTTCCTCATGCCCATGCTGAGGCCAGGCAGTGGGAAGCTGCTCCCCTGCTTGCTTTTCCCAGGTCCATTGCAAGTGCAGCTTCCAACCAAGATCAGGTATCTGCAAACTGTCTGTACTGCTGCCATCCTCCCACCCCCCAGGTTGTAGCACAGGCACAGATGGAAGCTGCCTGGCCTGCTGGGAGCTGCACCCGTGCCACAGCCAGAGAGCAGGGGCTGGGAGAAGTGGCAGCAGTTTGGGCACAGCTGGAAGATACCCTGCCTCAGCACTGCTTCTCACTGCCTAGTCCTGGTATGGGCACAAGCAAAACCCTTCACTTTGATGGGCTAGGTCTTGTGGCTCCACAGCCTGGATGCAGCCCATGGGCCATATGTTGCTGACCTGTTGTCTAGAGAATCCCCGTAGGTCCTTCAGCAGGCACCCTCCTTTTGAGGGACGATGAAACCAGTGATTCATATCAGTACAGTATTTTACTTTGTCAGTAAGTGGCCACCTCAGAGTTTCACCATACATAAAATCCCACATCTGACTAGTGCTGTGTCAGCTGCTCTTATTAGATTTTTTCCTGGATTTATGATCTATCCTGAACCTGCCAACTTCAGGGATGCAAATAATGACGGATCATAATTGCTTAGCATGGAGGTTTATCCAGTCTGTTGAGGATCTGCCAGCCCACAATAGTATAAATGCTTGGGTTTCCATTGTCCCTTAAAATTTACGCTTTTGATTAACCAGCAGTCTGAATTCCACCCGACAACTTCTATTTTCTGCAGCACCTGCAGGATAATAGGCACGTGTGATAAAAAGGCTTTTGAGGTTATTCACCATTTTTTTTAATAACCAACAGCTCCATAACCATTCCAGCATGGAATAAAGAATTTCTAGTCAGTCGTCACCTTTGCTGGTGTTGCTTCTAGACACAGGTTCCCATTTTGCACCCACAGTTTTGTGGGCATGAATTTGCAGCTGCATGTCTGTGGACATTGGTCCAACTGGTGTCCTCTGAGTTTTAGGAAGTGAGTATGAATGGGCATTTTTTTAAATGGGCCAAGATAGCAGATTTTTATATGAAACCCCACAATTGCAGGTGAAGAATAGACTGTCCCTCCTGCATGGAGAGCATGGAGTCTGCTCCCTTCTCTGAACCCAGCCCGATGCCCAGCAGTAAGCAAGACAGCCCTTAAGTCTTGGAAGAAGATTCCCAAATTTTAGGAGCTGTACCTGCAGTCCCCAGGCATGGAGACTAGTCCACGTGTAGAGTATCCTTATGTCCACCTTGCATCATGCCAGAGGTGGGGGACACTATGTGATTAGCATTATAAAAAGGGCCTCTTCAGTTCCTTGGCATGTACAAGATCATGCCTGCTATGTATATATCAAACACTGCAAGTCCACTAAATTCATACAGCACAAATGTTTGTCAAGTATTTGATGAGAGGGGTAAATTAGAAAATGCTATTATGTCAGCCATCACCAGTAACACGTGCAGCACAGAAATTGAAAAGGAACATCATCAATCCAGAAGTCTTGAAATGTAAACCAAATAGACTTGCTTATACTAAATCAGGAATAAAGTCCCATATTATCTGCAAAGAAATGAAGACACTTGTATAATTTGCTGAGATTGCAGCTTTTCCTACCAGTTTGAGTACATCATCATTTCCTTCTGTTTCATCCCTCTTGGGCTGTGGTCTAATCAAAACCTAACTCAATAAACTGCATATTTAACACTGAATAGCTAAAAGTCACAGAGAATGAGTTAATCAGAAGTTATAACATCCTGACACTTCCTCGAGCTCAACAGTTGAATTAACACAAAATGGTACCCTTACCTTTATACTCTGACAGACCACTGCATCTTTCTTCTTGTTATATAAAATAATACATTGCAGAACTGGATAAAATCCTCGCTATACATTTATGTCTTTTCTTAGCTGCCAGCCATAGATTTTGCTCTTTGTTCATTGAGATCTATTATAGCTATAATTTTCCAATTACCACAACAAAGTGCAGTAGGAAAGGCAAAACACAGAGTCTGTGTAATCATGTTATTTCTTAAGACTACTTGATTTGTAGTAGAAAAGATATGTTGGGATTATAGTAGTGCCTGTTATTTGTTTGTTTGTTTTAATCACATTTCCACATGTGCACTTGTATTTAATCCTTAACTGAAAGCACTTAAGTTTCATCTTCTGTTTCTCACTAGCGGCTCTCAGTGCCGGTCATGGACTGCCTGCTAAATTTGTGATCCACTGTAACAGCCCAGGCTGGGGTTCAGACAAATGTGAAGAGCTGCTGGAAAAGACAGTGAAGAACTGCTTGGCTGTGGCTGATGAGAAGAAGCTGAAGTCTATTGCATTTCCTTCAATTGGCAGTGGCAGGTAAGGTGGTCATGCAAATCTATTCCAGTAGACCACCACATCCATCAGCTGCTCATACACGTTTCTCACTGCCGTACATTGATTTATTCTCTTTCACTTACTCTATTGAGATCTTTCTTGTAGATCTGGTCAATCAGTATGTGATACTTGGAATCCCTACTCGGACTTCATCAGGCGTGACAGGGATCCCTGCTGATCCTAATGCACTTTTTGATTTTGATGAAATGCAGTTTTTAAGAGTACATAAATTTTAATAGCCTCCCAAAAACTTAGGAAATAAACATGGCAAAAAGGAGTGTATTTTATCAAGCTTGACTGTTTAGTTAATGCTATTATCGTTAATTCATAAAATAGCTCAAAGATATGGCGTAGGCTAGGAACAGACATTGTTTTTGTCCCTGGACAAGTAGTGCTTGTGATCATCCTGGAACAGAACTATCCCAGGATTAGTGTGTATACACATTGCCTTTCTAATCAGGATTTAGTGAGCGGCTGAATGCATTGCTGCTTTTCTGCCATCGATTCAATAAAGCAATCCCAGGTTAACAGTTCAGATGAGTTTTGCAATGTCCCTTCTTGTCCCATTAAACTTTCTAAGTTTTGTCCTAGGACAATGGACATGGACATCTGAATTATAGCACTTTGTCTTGGGAGAAAATAGTTTATTCTGGGACAAATGCTACTTCTGTTTGTAGTCTTAGTGTCAGCCTGTGTTGTGTTTGAAATATGTGTTTTCTCAGGAATGGCACAGTCAATTCTAATTTTCCAGTGATGTCCAAAAATTGAATTCTATTCCATTTATTTTGTAGCACTTTTTCAGCAGAGCAATTAAAAGTCTTAGCCAAGTTTTTAAAAAAATACAAAATAGACATCTATATATTAGTTCCTGTATCCCGTATAGGTTATGTAGGATGCCCATTTTTTTTAATACAGGTTCATTCATTTAAGAGCTTGAATATGGAATCAAGGCTAAATCAGAGGCTCTTGGGTTTCTTTTGAACTTTTGGGTCCTTACGGGTTGTTGCGTGAGGTCACAGAAGGCCAGATCAATGCCACTTTCTACCAGCTGGCTCTACATATGCTGTACAAACGCTCCTTTGAATTTACCTCAGTAGTACAGGTTCACTGTTCATCATTGGGAATAAGATTCTGCCTGCTGCTAGTCATTGTGCTGCACAGGGGGTTGCTGCTTTTCAGAAGTGGCTGTGTATCTCTGGTAAACTGCTTCCTGTATATCTTTATATACAGGATAATATGATATAGTGTAGAGTACTGTTGGATCCTTTGGGTTGAGTAGCACTATAGAAATGTAAATTATCATTCTTTTAATGAAGTGTTACAGACTTCTGTCATACCTGGCCCAAAAATATTGGTTGGTGACCTATGCCATTTTAAGTAGGAGATAATAGTATGCAAGTTGTGGGAGATGTTGTGGAGGCAAGCATTTATGCAAAGTGTGCTTGCAGAGAAGGTGTTTTTTACAAAACGGAGCATAGTGTGTGTTTTTTTGGTGGGATGGCTTGCCACTGCCAATGCTACAAAGTAGTATATTGCTGTTAAAAATAATGAAAAGGTCTTCTGGTTCTTGTTAAATTATGAAACCTAATTGAGTGAGAGAAAAGATTTTGAGGGGGGTTAGTCTCAGCTTGGCGTAAGCACATAACTTGTACTCAAGCTGATGAGACCAGTACTTTTTAAAAGAGGAGAGTACAGTACAGCGTTTGGCACATGGCAGGCATAGACATGCTTATGCATTCCCTTTTTTTTTTTTTTTTTTTTTTAAGTAAAGGGGCTGTTTGGGACATAAATGAATTTCTATGAAATAGAATATAGTCTGTCAATACAACTCACTTGTTTTATGGAGTGAAAAAGTTTTAAAATATAAATCTAAAGCTTCTAAAGACAGTAAATGCCAAAGGCACCACATGCTCACAGCTGTTCTGGTACCGACATCTGTCAAACAGACATCACCCAGTAAACCCACATAAACAGCTCTATTCTCATTTATGGCTGAGGAATGGGATTACATGAGGGTAGTTCAAATAAATCATTTTGTGCATCGGGGTAAAATAACAGAGCTTGCTCGCAGCATCCAGTGGGCTGGATGCCCAACGACACTAACTTTCACAAGAGCACAGGTCAAAGGGTGCTTTGCAAAGGTGACCAAAAGTTCACTCCAGCAAGGGCAGGGGGGAAGAGCAAGAAAGAAAAGTGCTAGAGGTTCAGGTTTGAACACCGATTCACTCTCTCATAGTGGGTTATCTTCTAGGGGTTCTGACATTAATCTGCATGTGCACAACTTTGGCAAAAGGCTCAAACTGAAGTTTTACAGAAACTACACTAAAAATACTCAATTTGTGCAAGTAGCTCTTGTTCGTACCAGAAGCTCCAAAAGCAGCCTCTGGTCAACACTCTGCCTCTCCCCTGCACCATGTCACTCTTGTACCATACTGACTTATGTGTACCTAATTAGTTTGCAATGTGAAAACCTCCCTGAGCACTCACAGACCAGGCACTCTCAAACCCCTGGCCATAAGTTAGTTTGGTATACCCTGCTAGCTGGCACAGCAGTGTTTCAAAGTCCCCTTAAGGAGGTGCTGGAAACCTGTACTCCCCTGATCTTGATGCTGCCATGCCTGGCTGCTCTGTTCTGTACCTTAGCAGCCAGAAGGCCTCTCTGATTTATGCCAGACTGTAGCATGCTTAAGCAACCAAAAAAAAAAAAAAGAACTGGGGAACAGGTTGAATTCCTTACTAAGCAGCAAGTGGCTCCTACATCAGTACTACCTGAGCAGTAGGTCACCTCTTTACAAGGTTGATCTTCCCTAGATCAATGAAATGAGCTGTGGAAACTCAAGTTATTTCACACTATGGTTGTTAAAAGCCAGGAAAGTTCAGGCGTTTTCTGAGACGAGAACAATATGTGCTGTGTCATATCATCCATTTTGAGAAATCACAGGTATTCTCTACAGACAGCATGTCTAATGCCATGCTGCGCACACCACCACCATAGAATTGCTAGTAGAATACATTTTATAAGAAGGTAATGAGTACGAAGTGGTACATGATGCAGGCAGCTGCCTTTTGTCTTCCTGCTTCTTGCAGCATGTAATGAGAGTCCAATGCTCCTGTTAGCTGGTGCTAAATGATACATCTGTTAATACCAGAGGGGAATTAGGCTTCACCTCTGCGAAGTGAACAAACACTAAATAACTCAATATCATGATGTAGTGGGTTTGTAAGTAGAAGTCTTCCTTTACGTTATTAGGGTGTGAGTATCTCAATAACCCTGATATTACCATGTTGGCTTCAAGTTTGTTTAAAAGCCTGGGGGCCTATAAAAAAAATCAAAAACACCCACCACTTTCCTTCGCTTTGTAAAATGTCCTTGGAAATAAAGTATTTCTTAGGGCCTGATCTTTCTCTCTTTGAATTCAGTGATGCTTTATTGGTGCAGGATTTTGAATCTTTTTTTGCATTCTGTTTAGCTTCTTATACTACTCTTGTCACCATTGTGTTCCAGGAGTGCCTTAAAGAACATTACTGAGATCTGCCACTCAAGTCTGTTTGCTGCTAAATAGCTGTGCAGTTGCATTTCTTTAGAGAGCAGCTTAGCAGGAGCTTTTACAAGAGCCAAATGCTTTTTGTGGAAGAGATTGGATTGAACCGGAATCAAGATATGTGGAACAAGCTGGAGTTAGAACAAGTTACTTGTGTGCAGTACTTAGGAAAGTTGTAATAGGAACATTAGGAACACCTGTGGCCAGGGAGTATAGTCATCATAGTTTCCTGCATCAGATATATCTTTAAAAACCCACTGGCCCTTCATCCCTTCTGCTCCTTTTTCTCTTCTCTGTGATCATCTGTCTTATCTGGTTGCATTAGTGCATCTGCTCTATTGTTTCCATAGACAATTGCTTTTATGTAAAGAGCCTTTGGACCCAATATAACAAACTAGGCACAGAAAGTTCAAATTACCATAGCTTCAACCAACCACACCATTTCTGCCTAGCAGAGATTTACCCAAATAGAGTCGATTTCTTGTGCTGCCTTCCATGAAATTTCCTCCCTCAAGGGACATTGCCTACTATTGGGGTTCCTTATGAGCCTCTGCCGGCAGGAGCTCAAGGGCATTAGCCAAAGCCTCACAGAAAAGCGACCGTAGTGTATCCTGCACAGGTTTAATTTGGAATATGGGCTGCCACCTTCTCCCCATTGTGCTTGTCCCATAGAGGGATCGATTTATCTGTTCCCACACACAATATAAAGCATCACAGAAACTTGAAGAAAAAAAATGCAATCGAAGTAAGTAATTTACTAGTCCGTCGTACTAGCACCAGCAGTAGTTCCGCTCTTCTGGCCTGCAAGTGACCCTGTGCATAATCAGAAACAGCTAGCTAATTTTTTTCTTATCCTAAACATCTATTGTTCCATAACAAGGAGGAAAAAATCCACTCAATTTACAGAACAAATTGGAAGAAAGGAAAAAAAATAAGCCCAGGGTGTTTCTGTTAATGTCTTTATTACCATTCATTCAACATAATTTCTGTCAGTATAATGCAGTACAAAGTGATGTGGGAATGTATTACAATATTCTGTTGTAAAGCAGCCAAAGATTCATGTAGATATATACCTAGGGCACTTGCACGCAATGTTATAAAATGCAGTACAAATTAAGCATTGACAAAATATAAGTACATGGTGCAAAACCAGTCCACAAATGTATAACATGCCCCTTAACATTGCATCTGGGTGTGCATCTTGAAAAAGTGATCCATTCCTTTTCACTTCCAGAATGTTAAGCCATATTACTGCGGGTTTACACTTACAGATTTTTCAGTGTTCGGCTGGACCTGTTACTTATCAGTGCTTCACTGCTAACATAGCACCACAGCTGACAGTGACTTCCAAGTCGTTTCCAGATGTAAATCCAGGTGTGGGTTATGGACCTATAAAGCCCTTTATTGCTTTGGTCCTGGCCATGTTGAAGTCAGACTTGTCTCCTTGTGTTTTGACCTCTGTTTAAGATAAGATGAAAAACTTTCAGGCCAACAGCCACTGGATGTAAACCTGGAGGGGGTTGGAGGAAAGGTGTTCTCAGGGCCAGTCTTTGACTTTGAAACTCACTCCTTTAGAAATCTGTCGGCAGAAAATACTGCAAAGTCTGCTTGCCTATGGTTTCTTCTACAGGTGCAGATGACAGACCCTTTAGATGTTGATTGAGTCCAAGCTCGTACGAAGCTCTCTGTTTGGAAATTGCAGACCCTTTCCAGCCGATACTGGATCAATTGGTTTAGTTGTTTTACATTTCTCAATATGTACTCTTGTGGTGTGGTGGCAAAGCACTGAAGGAGTTGTGCTGTGCTTCCATAGGTATGAGTTTGAGCCTTGCTCTAAATTCAGACTAAAGGTACCCCCCAGTTGATCATGCTCTATCTAAATGAGTCCCTGATCATTTGGGATGGAGAGTCAGAAGTGGACAGACCTGATGGTAGGCACATCTCTTCCTTGTAGCCTATATCACACAGAAACTGGCATTCCTTCCCCATGCTGGTCCAGCAGCCTAGTAGGCTGAGATAGACCTTTGACCTGAATGGCACGTGTTAAATTAGGTGTGATGCAAAGTATGGTGCAGAACTTTGTTTATGAACAATGTTGAAAGTCAAGTGGAGAGGACTCGCCATACACCTGCTGAAACGTTAGAGCTCAGAACTAACACAACTATTTTACTACTTACTTGGAAGCTGTACTCCTTTTAACACTTTAGATGATTCTTGAAATCATCATCGCCTTTGCTATTTTAGCTGAAAATATGCTGTTACTATTTCTTTCCAGTGAAAAGGGCCAGAGCAATTTTTGCTCTTCGCTCTGTTCTGATTGTGGAAATGTAACCCGTACCTTTTGTGTTATATTGTTAAACAGAGATAACATCAAAGTAGTTTGTTCTTTGGTTCTTTTCACATTTCCTGTTTGACGATTAACTGAGGGGTTCTTTTGTGTCTTTCTGAACAGTTAATTTATGTAATTACTGTATTGCCCTAGTGTACCTTGTACAACGTTATCTACATCAGATTATTCAATATTCTCTGGCTTTTGTACCTTTCTTTGAAGCTCTCACTGAAGTCCCTGAGACTTTTGAATATAAGTGTTGAAGAATGTACCTACAACCTTTTACTTTTTCTTTCTGTCCTATAGAAATGGTTTCCCGAAGCAAACAGCTGCCCAACTGATCCTGAAAGCCATCTCCAGCTACTTTGTGTCAACAATGTCCTCTTCAATCAAGACCGTGTACTTTGTGCTCTTTGACAGTGAGAGTATAGGGATATACGTTCAGGAAATGGCCAAGCTAGATGCCAACTAAGCCCAGAAAGTTATAAAACCAGCCGTCTTGCCCATCTCCCCCAAAAATCCTTATCTCATTGTGAGGCAGAGCACCCCGTATTTTAAATTTTGCTCATCTAGGGGAATAAAGGTGGTGGGGGTTTTTTGGTTTATTTTTTTCCTTTTTGTTTTGTTTTTGTTTTTTCCTTTAAATATTTTTGGTTGACTTTTGTTCTGTTTTGTTTTTACTTTCTAAAATGTTTTATGTTGGCACTGATAGTTGGCATTACTGCTGTTAATGCACTGTATTCCAGGCATCGTCTGAATTTAGTGTAATCTAGGAGATTTTATAGTTTTATTTTAATGAAGTATGGATCGAGAAAGAAAGTTGTTAGGAGTATGTAGTCTTTTACTTGTGAAAGAAACGGCAGACCCTATTTTGTAACTGTGTTGTGGTGCTTTATCAATACACTGAGTGGCGTTCCTTTCATTTTTTTAAAAGAACAGATGCTACAAACCTAATTTGTGTTTGTTTATTGTCTTAACGATGGATCTGGAAACAAAAAAAAAACCCCATTGTCCTTAATTATATTTACAATTTGGAATTTGTGTGAATTGATTTAGTAAAATGTTTGAACTGTTACACTTGGTGTGCTGTTGAATTACTTTTTTTAAAGCTTTTGCATGCAAACATTCAAGACAATTCAACAGATGATAAAATACATTGGACTTGCATCTCAGATTAGTGGTGCCAATCATCCACAGAGCTACTAACATTAGCTGGAAATTTGAATGCTCAGCCTATTTTTTTCAAGATCAGACCTTGTGGCCTAAGTGGTCTTACTTTTTGTTAGTATTTCAGAAGTTGCCTTGCAGATTTTGAGTTCATTGGCCTTCTAGTTTGGAAGGCCAGAACCATTTAAGCGTAGACTTTTAATTATCACATATTGTAGCGGAGGTATATTGCATAGTTCTTTTTAAAACCTTTGCACTGTTTCCATGTGTGTTGGAGCTTGGTGGGTAATTTGTTGGTCATCGGTGCTGATTTTTACAAACCTACACAGAGAATCTAAATACAGATTGGTTGATTTGGCTCCTACTAAGTTAATACTGACCAGTTTGTTTGAAAGGGCTCATCTTTTCCAGTGTATAGACATCCTTTTGTTATGATCCCAGTTTGCACTGGTTGCCTGCCACAGGAGTTCCCATATCGGCAATTGAAACTAACATGTATGCTGTCCCTCTTCACTGAAACCAACAGTTTGTACTTGGGGAATGAAATCATGTAAGTTCTGTCCCTTGGTAGAAAGATTTTTTCCTTTGAAGCCTTCTGGTTGGAGGTGCACTGATATATCGCTCCATATCATATCAGCACCAATAAAAGGAAAATTGACATTATTGGCAATCAACTTTTTTTGGCTGATGTGGCTAATAATCTCCCTTATAAATACCGCATGCATGCTGGCAGCTTGGAGCGCAACGTCCCACTGGTAAGTCTGCTGGAAGGAAGAGGCATGGGGTGGAGGGAGGCAGATTGAGGCCCCCACAGTGAGAGAGTGGGGCTGGGATGGGCTGGCGCAGACGTTGCCCAGCCGGAGCAGGGTGGGGCACAGGATGGAGCCACAAGCAGTTTGTCCGGGGGGTGGCTCCCGCTGCTGCATGCATCCCTGGAGAAGGTATGGGAGTCGTATGCCCTCCAGATCTGTGCATGGGTTGAGGGCGGGCTGCTGCTGTGGGCTGGGGCTGCACTCAGAGCAAGTGGTGGTAACACTGGGAGAGGGGCTATGGTGAATTCTAGTGCCCCTCCCAGTGCCGAACAGCCCCGGCCCAACTCCCCCACTAGGAAGAACCCAGTGCCACCCCCACCCAAGACCACAGCAGCAGCCCACCCTCGCCCCGCGCACAGATCCAGGGGGCACACATCCCCCGTGCCTCCCCTGGGGGTGCACGCAGTGGCAGGAACTGCCCTCCCCTCCTTGCCCCCCGGATGAGCTGCTCATGGCTCCATTCTGCACCCCGCCCCGGCTGAGCTGCACCTTCTCAACCCCAGCCCCGCTCCCTCCCTCATCATCGGGACCTTGATCTGCCCCCCCCCCCCCCCCCCCCCCCCCCCTTTCCAAGCTACGAGCTGCAGATCAGCAGTCTGATCATTACTGGCCAATATGGCTCGTTAATAATCAGCCATTGGTATTGGCCCAAAATAGCTTTATCAATGCGCCCCTACTTCTGGTAATCAGTCTACCTTCTGAGCAGCAAACATATGTTGGTAGTTTTTAGAAATCTGCACTTGTTGCTGAAACACATTAGTTCAAATGCATTCTTGCTTGATCCAAAGCTTGCTGACCCAGCATTCACTGATGTCAGCAAGGTTCATTTCATCAGACCCTTCTAAGAATTTGATTCTGAATAGTTATTTTCCAAATTGCTCAGTTGACATTCGTATGACTTGGTGAAATCGTTTGCATTCATCATTGTGTGCTTACAATTCTGGTCATCTGGGTGCATTACTATGAAGTTACTCTAAAGGAATGCAAGATAAATAGATGCAAACAAATAATTAAGCAATAATAGTCTACCGGGGCATGAATTTTGTGCCTATAATAAGTTTGGGCCATGGAGCACTCAGAGCTAGTTATCTTTGATTATCCTGTAATAGTGTTCTCTCCCACTTCTTAGAGAGGGGGGGGAAACTGGAAGGGGAAGTAGAAGCAGTCAGTTGAAATGGTATAGGATTTCACAATAACATTTCTGTCTGTTGCAGCTGCAGTGCATTTTATATGAACTCCACTAGATGTCACCAAAAGGATTGACAAAATAAGCAAAAGCGCAGAATACTTTCATTTGATTAGATGTTCTGCTGCACAGGAGTAAGTTGACTTTGTCAGGGCAGTTTGCACAGATCCTAAGTGTATCTGGGATCTCCCTTGTAGATGGGATGTCTGCATTGAGTTTTGGATGCACTTGGCATCATACAACAGCCATGGTTTTGTCTTCGTAGTTTATACATTGCTGCAGTGTTTAAGTCTGAACTCTTCAATCTTATTTTCCCAAAGAGTAACTGAGAAACACAACATGTTTTTATCCAATATATACAACTTCGGTTATAATCCAGATAGTCTCCAAACAGTTCAAATGCAGCCCTCCCCAAAGAGGCTTTTAACAAATATGTCCTATTACTTCAACGGCATCAGGAAAGGAAGCATTTTTCTGTTAGCTGAAAGATAAACAAATGAGTGCCATTCAACTCGTATGGACTAGTGTCTCTTTGGCCTCGATTCTGAAAAGCTTACTCGCTTGCGTGCCGTCCGACTCCAGATCCAGCCTGTTGATTTCAGTGGGACCGCTTCCGAAGTCAAGTTCTCTTCAGATGAGTAAGGGAGTCACAGTCCAGCCCTTTGAATTTCCAAGGCCATTAGTGAAGCACATCCGTTACCTCTTAGGAACAGAAGAATATGTCTCTCAAAGACATTTTTCAGCACTTTGACCAGTGGAATTGTTATCCGCAATTTGCCTTGGTGGACAGTTCCACCATGCTAGATCTCACTGTCAAAATGCTTCTTGAGCCTAGTCTTTTTTTTCTCTATAATAGGTGGGAATTTACTTGTGGTTCGGGGGCTTGATCCTGCTCCCATCACAGTGGGTGAACATTATGGTGTTGACTTCATAAAGGTTAAGAGCTGTCTACTCTTTTGTACCAATATAAATAACTCTTTCTTGAGTTTATTCTAAGCCACATCAATAAATAATGATCAGCCTGCTTGAAATGGACCCCTCAACCTAAATATTTAAACCCAATACGGTAAGAGGATTCTTTGGTTCAACGTGTTCCCTAAGCTACCTCCTGCAACCTTCTGGTGGGCTGATGCCCACCGCACTTTCGCCTTTTTGGGAGATGAATCCATTAGCAGCGAGTTCTCCAGTTGTTGGCACTTCTAAGTTGTGGATTTGGCAGCGAAACTTAGCTCAGCCAGGTAGTACAGTCTGCTAAGTTAATGGCATACATTTTAGCACCTAAAAAGTAAATGTATCAAGTTACACATTTAATAAGAAAAACAGAAAGCACAGCGAACATGTATTGTTGGCTGAATTAACATTACTTTTGGAATATTAACTTTTTTGCATTTTGTTTCTTATACTTAATTGCACGTGCTCAAAAATATATATATCACATTTAGACGGGGCTGAAGCATGGAAAATTTCAGCCATAAAATTGTTTTCATAACCTTGTTTTCTTTCTGACATGTCTATCATGAGCCTGTTCAAACACAAGAGGTTAAAATGGAGACTGTTGTGTGACCTTAACTGCGTTACTTGTGTAATTGTGGCTCAAACCCGATTATAGTCACCCTGATTCTCCACTTGTCCCTCCAGTTTGAAACTCCAAGTACTTTTCTTGTGTACAAGAGAATTCATTTTAACGCTGTCTTCAAGGTGTGTACAACTACGTAGATTCCTGTGTTATGTATGTATTTTACAGCATACCTTCCTCCAAGCACCTCACTCACTCAGTTGTCAGCCCATATGATTTGCTTATATGCTAGGATTATTCTCTCTCCCTAGGCAGGTTGCCATGCTAGGCACACCTGAAATATGCTGCTGACAGAAGTGTTCTGCCCCCAGAGAGAACGTGAGTGAAATGTAGTTTTGTCAGGAGCAAGAGTTCACAAGCATTGTACAGATCATCTGCTACTTTGAAATCTTGTTTCCTGAAGTCTTTGTTATTCTCCAGAGGAACGGAAGCAGCAATAACAAATAACATTTATGTCTTTTTTTGCTTCATTTGAGAATGGCACATTCCTTGGTAACATTTACATTGCATGCATCTTAAGTGATGACATGGTAGATAACTGTTTGGATTCTTACATTCTCTGCCCTGCTGAAGAACAGTCCTCCATACCACGTAATTAATTTAAAATTCAGTAACAAATCACACTCTATTTACTTAAAGTTACTTGAACTCATCTTTAAATCTCAAGTTTTCAGATGTTTGGTTTTAGTGTCTGGGCAAATCAGAGATATGAGCCAACCTTCACTGCTCACATCTGGATCAGGGCTATAGTGTCTGGGCAAATCAGAGATATGAGCCAACCTTCACTGTTCGCGTCTGGATCAGCGCTAAAATGTCTCCAGTGTTTAGGTAGGTCTTATACTGTTCTGCTGTCTATGTTTCTACTTCTTCCTCACTGGGGGTTTTGGGCCTCTTGCCTAGTACCTGGAACTGGGGCGTGGGTTGAAAGTAAGGTGGATGGAGATCAATCTAGGTGATGATAGGGTGGGAAAGACAACAGGGACATCTCATGGAGATTATACCTATTCTATAATAGCATATTTATTTGCAACCTGGGCGCCAGATTTCCAGCAGATCAGCTCTCAGCATTGAACAGGATGCTTTTTAGCCAGTGGCCAGAAAGTTGCTGTCTTTTCTTAGATGCAGACCCCATCACCATAATTCATGGACACCCGTACACATGTGTGACACCTATTCCAACACATTCTAGTTATTCTGACTTATTAGACTCAATTACTAATTAGACTCAATCAATCAAATCTGCTGGAGCATTCTAATTGGGACTCTCCAGCAGCCACCGCATTTCAAAATGGTGACGTGGGCACTTTAACTGAAGCTCGTCAGATGAACTTTAG